GTAAATCTAAATAAACAATCTATAAAACTTAGTAGTAATATCTAATTTGGTTGATTAATGGAAAGAAAACAAGGTGAAAATAAGTACTGGGTAGCATCATCTGTTACAGGGATGGTTTGACTAGAATCAAAGCATTAGAAAGTTCTTGTACTTTTTAGGAAAAGAAAAGAATTTAGATTTGAATTCATGAATATGTTAAAAATTCATAATCAAAGAGGCGAGTGTATATAACTTTATAAAATGAGAAAAAGAAATCAGAATATAAATAAATTCAGTGGAAATCTGGATAAAACTGTATAATAGGGTAAATACAAAGCATAAAATAAAAAGGCAGAAAAAATCCAGATATATCAGTAACGCTAATAAATTATTTTTTTATAATGTATATTTTAAATCCTCACCTGAGGTTATGTTTTTATTGATTTTAGAGAGAGAAACATCAATCTGTTGCCTCCTGCATGCACCCCTGACGGAATCGAACCTGAAGTTTTTTGGTGTATGGGACATGACTCCAACCAACTGAGCCACCTGGCCAGGGCAATAACAATAAATTAAAATGAACTAAACATTTAAAAAACAGATTATTCAGTTACAAAAAATAAAATAATATTTAGTTATAAGGTAAAATGCAAACCTAAAACATGAACATAAAATGATTAAAAATAAAATATTGGAATAAAATTGTATCAGAAAATTTATTCTTGCTCTCTTGTACATTTTCCCAGCTCCTTTAGACAACTTTTAAAAAATATATTTTTATTGATTTCAGAGAGGAAGGGAGAGAGATAGAGAGATTGAAACATCACTGATGAGAGAGAATCATTGATTGGCTGCCTCCTGCATGCCTCCTACTGTAGGGGATCAAGCCTGCAACCCGGGCAAGTGCCCTTGGCCGAAATCGAACCTGGGACCTTTTAGTCCACAGGCCAATGCTCTATCCACTGAGCCAAACCAGCTAGGGCTAGACAACTTTTGTTAAGATTCCTGTAATAATAATAAAAAAGATTTCTATTACTATGTAAATTAGTTTTGCCTTTTCTAAAAATTTTACAGAAATGGAATCATACAGTGTGTGTTCTTTGGTGTTCTGAAGTTATGCAACATAATGCTATACATATTCATCTGTGTTGTTTTATATCTCAGTAATTTGTTGCTGACTTATTCCATTGTGTGGAATATGTGTGTATACAAACACACACACACACGCACACACACACACATACAGTTGTATATACAATGTTGTGTTTATCATTCGTTTCTTGGTGGATAAGGGGGTTGTGTACTGCTTTGAGCTATTGTGAGGGATCCAGCTATTCAAACATTCTTGTTTGTGTCATTTGTATACATGTATTTTCATTCTTAGGAATGAAACTTATCAGTGCAGTTACTGTGTCATAACATAGACAGGTATTTAACATCATTAGGCACTATCAAACTTTTGGCACTTTAAGGATGTTGTTTCATTTTTTCCATACATTATTTGTGCTTATAAACTCCGATATTACCCTACTGTTATTCTTTCACATCTAATGCACCTTTTTTTTTTTTTTACACTGGTTGCTTATGATTTTCTATTTATCTTTTGAATTTTAGCAATTTGACTGTGGTGTCCCTAAATTATTATATTTATCCTGTTTGGGATTTGCTTCACCTTTTGGACTTGTGCTTCATTGTTTTTAATCAAATTTAGGAAATTTTTGGCCAATATTAAAATTTTTTTCTGATACAATTTTTCTTTTTCTTCTGAGATACCGATTTAGATGATCTTAGAATATTTGATATTATGACACATATTCCTCATACTCTGTTCATTATTTTCTATTTTTGTTCTTTTCTTCAGATTGGATAATTTTTATTTATCTGATTTCAAGTTCATTATGCTGTTTCAAGTCTTCTCTTAAACCCATGAAATGAATTTTTCATTTCATAAAATTTCAGTTTTTAGTTCCAGAATATTCATTTGGTTCTTGTTTAGTTTCCATTTCTTTCTGGAGACTTACTATCTGTTAACTCAATAAGATAATCTTCTAATTTAAGTCACTGAACATTATGATAGCTGTTTAAAGTACTTTTATGATAATTCCAACAAGTGATCAATTTCCGAGTGTGGTGCACTGAGCTTCATTTCCTAATCTGAGTCATCAGTTGCAAGTGTTCAGTATACTATTCTAGTTGCAAGTGTTCAGTATACTATTCTGTCTTTTTAATGTTTAAAATATTTAATAATTGATATTACATAATTACACAGAGGAAAATAAGGGAGTTATGCATAAAAGAACCACCCTAAAAGAAACACCCTATTTTGTTTGCAGGAAAAATACTCCCAAGAAAAAGTTCCCTGTGAGCAGTTAACAGAATAGAAGAATTTAAGAACATGAAGCCAATAAAGCAATAGCACACATTTGAGGATATAAAATATCAGTATGATAATGAAAATAGGTATTGAGATACTGAAACAAGCAGAGTTATAAAGCAACATCTGTATGAGCTCAAGAATTAGAGGAAAGAGTTGAAAATTGAATTACTAATATTGAGGAAAGGCTTGAGATGATTGTTTTAATATGCAGAAGAAAAGAATGGATATAGAGCATAGACAATGATAATCTGTTATAGGGAAATTAGTGTCCTTGACTTAGGAACTGAAGAAATGAAATTATTTTTCATTGAATTGTCTTAGCACCTTTATCAAAATTAAGTTGATCATAAATGTAAAGGTTTATTTCTGTACTCTCAGTTTCTTGCCATTGATATATTTGTTTATTGTTATGCTGGTACCATGTCTCAGTTACTGTTTCTTTGTTGTAAGTTTTGAATTCAAGGAGTGTGAGTCCTCCAACCATGTTCCTCATTTTCAATGTTGTTTTGGCTATTCTGGGTCTCTTGCATATACATATTAATTATAGGATCAGTGTATTTATTTCTGTAAAAAAGGCAGTTGGAATTTTAATAGAGATTGCATAGATCTGTAGATCCATTTGGGAAGCATTGCCATCTTAACATTATTAAGTTTTCTAGTCCATGAGCATGGATGGCATTCCATTTAATTAGATTAAATTTCTTTTAATGACGTTTGTCATTTTCATTATAGATATTTTATACTTTTTTTGTTAAATTTATTTCTTTTATGTTGATGTTATTAATGGAATTTCTTAATTTCATTTTTTGATTATTGTTATTGTATAGAAATACAATTTTGAATATTGATCTTATATCTTATTATTTTACTGACCTCATTTATTCTAATTTTTTGTGTGGATTAATTAGAATTTTCTACATAAAAGACTGTTATCTTGAATAGAGATACTTTCACTTCTTCTTATATGTCTTACCTATAGTAAATGTCTTTGTGTGGATAGGTTATAAAAATTGGTAGCCATATGCTTATAGAGTTTCAATGTTCATTGAATGATTTGAAGAAAAAACTTAAGAATATTGATAATCCTTAAGAAAGCAATTTGTCATCTTTGATTCTTAGTGTTTTTATATGTAAGATTAATTGATATTTAAAATCTATAGTTGAAACAGCATTTGACACTGTCCTGCACTAGAGATTGAGAGGTGTTGAGGATCTATCTAATACATAGTCACAAACCCAAACAGCCAACCAAAATGAGGAGACAGAGAAATAACCCCCAATGAAAGAACAAGCGAATGCTCCAGAAGAAGAGATAAATGAAGCAGAGATAAGAAATTTATCTGAAACAGAGTTCAGAGTAATGATGGTAAAGATGCTCAACAGCATGAGAAAAGATATAGTAACTATTAAAAAAGAACAGTCAGAAATAAAGAATGACATAGCACAAATAAAGAACACATTGGAAGGAATACAGAGCAGATTAGGGGAAGCTGATGATCAAATCAGTAAATTAGAAGACAGGGTTGAAAAAAACACTCAATCAGAGAACCAAAAAGCAAAAACAATTAAAAAACAGGAGGACAGCTTAAGAGAGCTGTGGGACAATGTGAAACGTAATAATATTAGAATAGTAGGTGTGCCAGAAGAGGCAGAAAGGGAGAAAGGAATAGAGAATGTGTTTGAAGAAGTAATGGCAAAAAACTTCCTTAACTTGGTGAAGGAAAAGTCACACAAGTTCAGGAGGCACAGAGAACCCCAAGCAAGAAGAACCCAACCAGGCCCACACCCAGACATGTCATAATTAAAATGCCAAAAATTAAAGACAAAGAATCTTAAAGGCAGCAATAGACAAGCAAACTGTTAACTACAAAGGAGCTCCCATAATGCTGACACCTGATTTCTCATCAGAAACTCTACAGGCCAGAAGGGAATGGCATGAAGTACTCAAGGTAATGGAAAACAAGGATCTGAGGCCAAGATTACTGTATCCAGCAAGGCTATCATTCAAAATAGATAGCCAAATAAAGAGCTTCCCAGGCAAAAAAAAAAAAAAAGGCTAAAGGAGTACATCACCAAGTCAGCATTACAAGAAATGGTAAAGGGACTGCTGTAATGAGAAGAAGAAAGAGAGAGAAAAACCTAGACATACAGAATTAAAATGGCAATAAATAAGTACCTATCAATAATTACCCTAAATGTAAATGGATTAAATGCTCCAATCAAAAGGCATAGGGTAGCAGAATGAATACAAAAACATGAACCAACTATATGCTGTTTACTAGAGACCCACGTCAGAACAAGACACACACAAGATGAGAGTGAAGGGATGGAAAAAAATTTTCCATGCAAATGGAAAAGAAAAAAAAGCTGGAGTAGCAATAGTCATATCCGACAAAATACACTAAAATCTATAGTTAATGTTAGCAATATACTTATTGCTGAAAAAATTGGGTTCATTGTTGGTTAAGTCAGATTTGTAAGTAACAGTCATGGGACTTGCTTCATATTATTATTTAGCTATTTCTGACATGTTTAGCAAATATTTACTATCAAAGTACATTCATTTCATTTTTCCTTGGAAATATTACTTCATGTTTAGTTTTTCTTAGCACTGATTTGAAAATTTTTGCTTTTTATATGCTAGGTGTAACCCGGAAAAATCCTAGGACACCTCTTTCTGATCTCCAGGGCATAAATACTTTAAATGAAAAAAACCAACAGTAAGTATGTTTGGCTTTTGTTTTCAAGGAAGTATAGAAAAAATAACTAGAATTCTTATACTTTTGTGGCTTTAAAAATATAAAGAAAATCAGGCCTAGTTTGCTTTATATTTTTTAACTCTTTTATAAATGATGTATTTTGTTACTAAGGTTAGAGTTAACAAAATTGCCTCTGGTAAAATGGTTGTACAATTAAAAACAAGTTTTCCCAGAATAATTTAAAATAACCACTTATGTTTTTATTTCTGAGACCCTTCTTGCATTTTATGTCTTTTGCAAATTTTAAGGGTTATTCTGCTGCTCTCTGTGGAGAAATCTTATTGGTAAGTAATAATTGAGTATGGTTTATATCAAACCATTGAATACCTTTTGTTGCTCAGTGTGATAATCAGAGCTTACTTTTTAACCATTTTTAATGAAGAATTCTTGAGTAAATTTTGAAAATAACAAGTATAATTTTCACAGTTTGTAAATAAAGTTACTTTGTTCTTTATACATGCTGTTTTCAAAAGATTGTACTTTATATGAGCACATTGTTCTATCACCTATTTTCTCTAAAATATGTATATTTAGTGTCTATCTAGAGTCTGCTTTCTACATTTTAAACATCATCAAGTAAATTGAGCTTCCTAGTAATAAGGATGTAGTTATAAAAGGTATCTTATTGTAGTTATAATTTTCATTTTCTTGCTTATTAATGATGCTGAATATATTTTTGTATAAAATGCCTGTTCTGCCCTAGCCGGTTTGGCTCAGTGGATAGAGTGTTGGCCTGTGGACTGAAGGGTCCCAGGTTCGATTTCGGCCAAGGGCACATGCCTGGGTTGCGGGCTTGATCCTCAGTAGGGCACGTGCAGGAGGCAGCCAATCAATGATTCTCTCTTATCATTGATGTTTCTATCTCTCTCTCTCTTTCTTCCTTCCTCTCTGAAATCAATAAAGAAGTATATATAATGCCTGTTCTTTGTTTGCACATATTCTTAAAAAGTTTTTAAAATAAATCTTATGTACTGATCCCACTTAAGTAACATGTTACAAATATATTCTCCCAATTTGTAGCGTAGCTGTTTACTTTTGTTGTTGTTGCTGTTAATCCTCACCTGAGCATATATTTTTTCCATTGATTTTTTAGACAGGGTGGAAGAGAGAAACAGAGAGAGATAGAGATAGATAGATAGAGCTGTCCTGTCATTAAAATTAAGGTATAACGTTATTGATCACTTTTCCTATTTTGCATTACTATATATTTTAATGTATATTGTCACTTCCCTGCTCAATAGCTTTTTTATAACTCTTTGTTGCTTGTTAAAAGAAGTCTAGATTCACTGGTCTCAAATGCTAGAGCTGTTACAGCCCAAGTAGCCAATCTCAACTCTATTTACCTTCAATGCCAACAAATTGAATGATTTACTATCTTTATAGTTATGCATCTTGTTTTCTTAATAGTGATACTTGACTAATGATGAGATTCACCACTATATTTTTGTGTTAAGTTTCACCCAAGAACAAATTAGATCTTTAATCTGTTGACCTGTGTACCTTCAATTCAGTCTATTGAGAGTACAGGTGTACATTGTGGGGTTGGTTCCAGACCATCGCAATAAAGCAAATATTATTGCAATAGAATGAGTCACATGAATTTTTGATCTCCCAGTGCATATAAAAGTTATATTTACACTATACTTAGTCTATTAAGTGTGCAGTTGTCGTATGTCTGAAAAAGCAATATACATGTCTTAATTTAAAGTTACTTTATTGCTAAAACATGCTAACCATCATCTGTGCCTTCAGCAAGTCATAGTATTTTTTGCTGATAGAGGGACTTACCGTTAATTTGTAATAAATGCAATATCTGCAAAGTGCAGTAAATCAAAGTGCAATAAAATGAGGTGTGCCTGTATTCTAACCCTGGTCATTAGAGATCTCTGAGTTAACGAACCTGTTTTGTTGATTTGGATTAAAAAAAGAGCCCAGCTGGTGTCACTCTGTGGTTGAGTGTCAACTTACGACCTATGAACCAGGAAGTCCTGGTTGGATTCCCTGTCAGGGCACATGCCTGGGTTGTGGGCTCAGTTCCTAGTGTGGGCATGCAGGAGGCAGCTGATCAATGAGTCTCTCTCATCATTGATGTTTCTATCTCTCCCTTTCCCTTCCTCTCTGAAATCATTAAAAATATACTTAGTCCTTGCCTGGTTTGGCTCAGTGGATAGAGCGTTGGCCTGTGGACTGAAGGATCCCAGGTTCGATTCCGGTCAAGGGCACATGCCCGGGTTGCGGGCTCAATCCCTAGAAGGAGGCAGCCAATCAATGATTCTCTCTCAACATTGATGTTTCTAATTCTTTCTCCCTCTTTCTTCCTCTCTGAAATCAATAAAAATATATTTAAAAAATATATATGTTTTAAAAAATAAAAGGTTACAGTGACTTACCCCATTTCCCAAAGCAATTTAATGCTTATAACTCTCTTAATTCCCAGCTTTTTTTTCTTTATACTTCAAATTTTGGATACCTGGAATGACCTATATGGACTTTTGTTTTTTATATATCAGTTGGGATAGTCTAATACAGTGGTTCTCAACCTTCTGGCCCTTTAAATACAGTTCCTCATATTGTGACCCAATCATAAAATTATTTTCATTGCTACTTCATAACTGTAATGTTGCTACTGTTATGAATCATAATGTAAATATCTGATATGCAGGATGGTCTTAGGCGACCGCTGTGAAAGGGTCGTTCGACCGCCAAAGGGGTCGCGACCCACAGGTTGAGAACCGCTGGTCTAATACTTAAGATTGATTGAGTTGGTCTGGACTCAAGCAATTAACTGAATTTAGGCACTCGTGGAATGATAAGTTAATTTTGTAAATATATGTATATAAATTTATATGAGACCCTTCTTCACGGGAAATTATATTACATCAGCTTGATTCTTTTCTGTTGTATACAATAAAGAAAGATATATGTGGCATTGAAGCAATGTTATCAGGAAAAGGTCAGCTAGCGTTCTTAACAAGAGGATTCTTCCAGATTGTATTTGTTATATTGGTGAATTTATTTTATACATATTTTAGAGAAAATAGGTGAGAAGAGGGAGAAGACAGGGTATTAGATACTTAGAAAATAAGATCAACTATGAAATCATTAGCTATGTCTATTAAGTGGGGTCTTTTGGATCTTTCCTATGTAATTCTCCTAATAAGTGACTCTTAAATGATAAAAGCGTGGACTGTCCAATTTGGTGGTGATCTAGGACTAAGAATTGATATAGTCTGTATAAAACCAATGAAATGTAAATAGTAAAACAGTTTTTAGTTAGTGCAAATATTCCTCAAGTGAGAGATAAAACTTTCATTAATGTTGAAAGGGCAATTGTTATTTTTGCTAAGAGAGTATAAACTGGAAACAAATGTCTTTATATCAAACTATGATTTGTGAAAAAGTACAGAGCCTCTGATTACATATCATAAAGCAAAGATTGTAAATGTACTAGGGGCACTGCTATAATGACTCTTATTATGAATAAAAAGACTGCACTAGTAGGCAAAGACACATATATTCCTAGGTGGAAATAGCTCTTGTAAGTGAATAGTTGCAGAGCAGAATGTGTGAAGACTAAAATATACCATCTTATATTGACAAAAACAATGCCTTTGGAAAGTTGTTATCTAGGAGGAAACAAAAGTGTGTGTCATCAGAATTTATTATCAACAAATACATAATGAATTTTGTACATTGTAGAAGTATATGGTAGGTTTTATAATTAAATGGTACCTATTGTACTACCATGCAAATCCCAAGCCATTAAGGAACAGGAATAACTCTCATTAAAGCTCTTAGGTTATGGCACCAATCTTTAGGACTTTGTCCTATATTGATATCCACATATTTGATGACTGAAATAGAATTATCCTGTAAAAGTTAACTGTAGCATGTTGTGCATCCTGATTTCTATTCTTAATACAACTAAAAACTCGCTGTCTAAAGCATTATTGATGTTGAAATTCAACTTTTCCTCTTGATCTGGACAAATGTGTATTATCTGAGATATTCTATTGTAAAATAACAATAATGAGAACGAAAGTAAGTACTTCTGATAAAGTTTTGTTAAAAACGTCAAATTATTAATATCATTGTTTTAGAAATCATATTTAACATTTATAAAGATGAGTGGATTTCAAAGTTCTATTAGAATTGATATGACTCGATGCCACATAAAATAGCTTGGAGTGATTTTTTTATGTTATAGCTAGATAAATCTCATTGATTTCTTCATGTCTTAGTATATATTTCGTTTACCATATTTTCTAGGAAAAATATAAAACTTGGATATTAGTGTAAATAGGTATATGTGATTATAAATCATATAATAATAGCAAATTACAAGTATGAAATAACACTTATATTTTACTATAAATTTAAAATGTTATGTATTGTGTAGTCATTTCAGAAGTCTTTTTTGCGTTTTTACATAGTTTGTTGGTCCTTTATTTGTTATAAAAATTACTGGCTGTTTTTACTCAGGCATAATTTGCTTGTTATATCCATTCCTAAACAGATAAATTAAGAAAAATACAACTTACAGTCCTGGCAGACCACTTGTTTATTTAACAAGTACTTAGTGCTGGGTAGAAACTAGAGAATCAATATTTTGTAAGATAGGTGTGATAAGTGACATGATCGAAGAAATAACACATAAAGGGACTGCTTAGTTTAATTTTTTTAAAAATATATTTTATTATTGATTTCAGAGAAGAAAGGAGAGGGAAAGAGAGATGGAAACATCAATGATGAGATAGAATTATTGATCAGCTGCCTACTGCATGCCCCACACTGGGGATTGAGCCTGCAACCTGGGTATGTGCCCTGAATGAGAATCGAACTGTGACCTCCTGGTTCATAGGTTGATGCTCAACCACTGACCTACGCCAGCCGGGCAGTTTAATTTTTTATGTTGATGGTGTTTGTAAAGAATTGGATGTGGGGGTAGATATATCAGAAAG